GTTTTAGTATTATACATTACTTAATTTAAAAGTAAATGCTAAAAAACATAATTAAACATTGATTTTGTGTGCCACGTGGTATGTTGAATGCAGCACTGGTTGAAATTAGATGTTTGTGATGTCAAAATACTAAATCTATAGTTTCGTACAAATTAGGAACTCAAATTACCGATATTGACAAGCTAGAATATAAGAACCTCATATATTTTCTATTTGCTGAGATATTACTCATGTACTGAATCAAACACAGTGGCTTATTTAAAAAAAAACAAATAGTTGCATTCTCTGTTTTAGTCAATAAATCATTTCTTAAATACACCAGTTTGGTGTGAATGTCCTGTCACTATGATAAACTTCATTTAACATAACGTGCATGAATTAAAACCCACAATTTTAAATAACATTACTGAAATAATGGTTTCGATTGTTGTTCCTTTACATAATTTGATAAAAAATATTGCAGTTCACCAAACAATAACAAAAGCATTTTATTTCCTTGACTAAAAAGTTCAACAAGTTCCACATAATTAAAGTGAGGTCTAACTTCAAAAATAACATTCAACAGTCACTACCTTGATAACTTCTCTTGTACCTATGGTAATTATCATATTTCTCTTACTTCACTGGAAACACAAACTCAAAATCTACAACACTCAACCAACTAACTGTCTGACTGAATAATTAACAAACAATACTTAACCAAAGTAGTACAAATTTCTATATTAAAAATCTGATTGTAGTATTGTATTAAATTTCTGAATATTATATGAAAAAATTATTTACATACCTACAGATAGAAAATTTTAGCATTAATTCTAAAAATTCTTTACAGAATGTAAAAAAAGAGAAATCCATCAATGGGTTCTGTCTTCAACTAAACGTTTATAAAACCAGAAACCTGCATAACTGATCAATGTGCATGCCATAAGACTGACTCATCTAGAAAATTGGAATCTCAAAGCTGGTGACTCATATTCAACTTCTGAACAAACATTCAACCATATGCTATACAACTGAAGATGAAATGATTTTTGTTGTTGTTATTTATCTTAAAAAGTAAACTTTTAAAACACGTCCTCAAAGATTATTTTATCACATGATTCATTACTTACTTAGTTTTCTTTCATTTTTCTATTTTTTCAAACAAGAACTTGAAGATAATGAAAATACTGGTATTCCAAGCTAAGGCACAAGAACAACATTGTTGTTGTTTTCTTAATGCAAACCTAAACTATGGACTATCTGCACTCTATTAATCTAAGGGAATCGAACGCCAGATGCTAAGTGTTGTAAGTCTTAACTTGCCAATGGCCCTCCAGTAACCAAGAACAATGTTATAAAGCATGAATGAAAAACACCATTTTTAATACAAAAAGACCAGACACCTTTCAGAAACCCCTAATTTCCTTCTTCAGTGATTGAATTCATGTTCTATAGCATTGCTTTCATTCCTTGAATTAAAAGATTTAAGCATGAAAAAGCTTATGTATTTACAGGTGAATTACTGGTATCTCTACAGCTTTGAAAATATGGATGAAAAGTGACTGGATGCAACATAAAACACTTATTTGATAACTAAGTGTATGTAAAAATACAATATCCACAAAACTAAAATACTCAAGCGGTCAAAGTTCTGATTTTTTCTTTTATAAATCATAAAGTCATTAGAATGCAAGAATATTTCAAACCACAGCATTTTCAAAAACAGCCTTGATCTTCTCAGACATTCCTTATGTGACAATATACGATAACTTTGTAAAAAGCTTGAAAACTATTTTATAATTTTTGTAAAAGGTGACAGTTCTGAAACATCTTTAGATACTTAAATACCATTAAAAGCACACAATATGTAACATCTTGTAAAAATGCCAAACAAGCAAAATAAAGGGCCAAACTGAAATATTTTAGAATTATAATGAGAAACGCTATGCTTACCTGAAGTGGAACTTCTTGAAATGGACTACTGTCTTCCTTTAAACTGAAGAGTTGCACAACACTGTTTTCTGAAAACTTCACGTAAACTTTTTTCCAAAACCTGCTTCCTGTAATTTTTCTCTTTATTGGCTGTCGCAAAAGTAATTCCCAGCCATCATCACTAGATTTTGATATAAAATCCTCTAAAGGCTCAGAAATGTCATCATCAAACAACGGAGAAGCAGTTTCAGAAGAATCTGTTTGGTTGATAGGCACACTTGACTCTCCAAATGCTGCAGGAAGCTCTATTTCCTGTTCTGGTAATTTATCTGTTGTCTCTAATGTTAGCTTTCCTTCTGATAATCTTGGACCATAACCAAATTCTGTGGTGCTCAAAGCAGAAGAATAATCTGGACTCCTTGGAGGTGGAGGAAGCAAGGGCATAGGTTGCAAAGAACTTTTGTCTTTAATGGGTCTGCTTCTTATCTTTGGTTTAATAAGGAAGGAAAAGTCAACAGTATTTCCTTCATCCTCATCACTAAATGAGTCTTCAGATGGTTTCTTGGGCAACTTTTCTACAGGAATTGCATCTGGTTGGTTTTTAGGGGATGAAAATTTAACAGCTCTTTCTTCCAAATTAAAATCCTCCTCATCACTACTCAGTAACTTGTTATCTAGTTTCAGAGATACAAATGAATCAAACTCATCAACACTGCTGGCAACAGTTCTCTCTTGTTTCTTAATAGCTTCTTCAAACTTGGCTGCAAAAGCTTCAAAGGCAGTAGTGTCAGTGGATGCCTGTGGGTCAGAACCAGAAGTTAGCTGTACCACATTGGTATCAAATGGATCAAAACCTGATGTGAAATGCTGTTCTGTTTCAGTAGCTTGAAGAAGATCAAACTCAGCAAATTCTGGTAACTCTTTTGTAGATATTCTATTAGCTGGAAATTCTGTAGTTGTTAATACCTCAGTCTCTTTACATGCTCCCTTATTCAACAAATTATTATCTTCATCTAAATCAAAGTTTACCAGATTGTTTTTATTACTTTCCTTTTTCAAATAAACCTCCTCAAAATCCCTAAGCCAATCAGTATCTTTTGCAGATGAATCTAAACCTAAGATTTTGTTTGGAGTTAAAGTATCAACTTCATAATCTTTTTTATTGCATGTTCTTGCATTTTTCATGCTACATGTAGATTTTTTCTCAAATGCATATAAGAAAAGATCTGCTTTTTCCTCTCCACTTAGAATTTTTTTCTCACTATGTTGAATTTTGCTTCCTTCATGAATAAATTCATTACCTAAATTAAAAGAGGCAATTTGATTTCCAATACCCGAAATACATTGAGATTCAGAATCACTAAATTTAGACTTTCCCAAAAGATAAGTATTAACATGATCAGTTTTACCTACACTAAAATCAATCTCTTTCTTGCTTGTGGTGACATTATTATCATTATCACTACTATAAATGCAATTATCCTCATTTGATGTGAACCAAGAATAATCTTCACAAGTTACAGTTTTACCTTCCAACTGTGACTTTTCCGAAGGTATTAAAACTGAAGATTGATAATCCTGTTTTTTAACATAACTGACACTTTCTAGAGTGTTTGATATTTCAGAGTCACTGTACTTGTCCAACATACTCTTTTCTTTGGTTTTAAAACATTTATGTAATCCAAAGGAGTCGAAGTTTTCTTGCTTTTCCATTTCAACAAATTTTGTTCCTGAGAATACATCAGCAGTTTGTATTGTCATTTTGTGCTCACTTGAACAAACTGTTCTAGGGATTTCTTCTATACACTTTCCTGATCTTCCTCCTTTTGTATTTTTTCCAGAATCAAAGAGTACCACTAAATCTTGGAATGTTTCTTTTTCTTTTGTCCATTCAGGATTGGTAATGGCACTGTCGTCAGCAAAGTCTATCAGTGGTTGTTCTTTTGACTTTTGAAATCCAGGTTGGTTATAAGAATATGAAGAAACAGCACTATTATTTACAACACATTGACTACTATTGTGAGATTTAGACACAAGATTATCTTCACACTTGAATGGATTACTAGCAGAGACTGACACATGAGTTACATCTACACTTGCAGTAGGAAATAACTGATTAAATGGTTTCACTTGTTTTGAAATAAATGGGTTCATCGATGGAAAGCGTGGTACCTTCACAGTATTTTCTGTTTCTTTCATTAGCCAATCTTTGCTACCTTTCACAACTGCTTTAGGATGACTATGTAATAATGATGTTTCAGACGTATCCCCACATTCTTCAAACACCATTGATGATAAGTCACTAACAAGATTCTCAGTGGGAGATAACTTCTGAGTATCATAAAAAAATGGTTCTACATGAGAATAAGAAACAGGTCTTTGATTTTTCTCACAACTTACAACAGGCTTATTGACAGGTACTTTACTTTTATCATCATCAACACAAGAAACTTCTGATGAACACAAACATGACATGTCTACAAAGGATGTGTCAAAGGGGTCATCTAAAGTCAGAGGATAATCTGTCAACGTGTTCAGCTTATCAGGGTAGTGGTGGAAAACTGCAGAGTTTTCTTTGGTTACCTCAGAACTGCCTTCCAGGGAAAAAATGGACAAAGGTTTCTCTTCCATCTCTTTTTTTTCTTCTTGCTCAGTCTGTTCTTCATTGTCTTCTGCAGTGAAAATTAGTAAAGGTATTTGTATTTCTTTTGTAGTTTCTGAAGTTGTGTTAAGAAGATGCAAGTCTTTTTCCCCCCATTTTTTTCTGTCTTTACTTCTCTTGGGTGGTGGGGGTCTAGGAGGAGGCTTTGAGCCTTTGGAAGTTTTTATCTGAGAAATTACAGATAAACTACTAAGTTTATTTTGGTCTGGTACAAAAAATGAGCTGTCAATGTCAATCCTGTTTTCACTGGGAAAATGTTTTGTTTCTACATCATTGGAAGAAAGTTGTGATTTATGAAGGACAGAAATGGCACTTTCTTCCTTCAGCTTACTCAAGTTAGTTTGTGTCTTCTGAAGCGTATCTTGAACTTTCTGTGTGAGCTGCTGGAAGAACTGCCAGTCCTCCGAGTTGTGCTGCTGAGTCTGTCTGCCTTTTGATTCAAGTTGATTCAAACACTCATCAGTATCCAACTCTTCATCACTACCACTTTCCTTCTTGTGGCTTTTTATTTTCTTCTTTAAATAATCCATTATCTACACTAACCCTAGAAATACAGAGACAAAAACAGGAATATAATTTTGAATAAAAAAATAATGATCTAAAAACTAGAAAAAGAAAAAATTATTTACAACATTAAATATTAGTTTGACCCTTTCCCGACATGTGTGATAGCTAGTTTGACCTTTTCCCCACAATTGTGATAGTTGGTTTGACCTTTCCCTACAAGTGTGACAACTAGTTTGAGCTTTTCCCCAAAAGTGTGATAAAATAGTTGCTCCCTAGAATGAAAGAATTACAACACATCTTTGAGATGAAGATGACTCATTAAAACAGCTCAAAAGTTAATATTATAATGTGCATCTATCATACACACAATGATAAAATAGGTCTGAATTTAATGCCAGTCTTCTTTAAAATTACAACTACTTTGATAAAAAGTATGAAGTTAGTGAAAAATAATTATAAACAAAAGAGAAACTTCCCTAACTTAAACAATAACAGTCAAAACCTTATTTGAACCATACCTGTTTAAACCATGGTTGTTTTTCTAAAACAAAGCTTGATTTTTGGAAGAAATATAGCTTAAGTTTTAATATACAAGACTTTTGTATTTTAGATATTCCAATTATCCTTGTTAATTCACATCCATGTATTAAAACAATTTTCAACTTCTGATAACTTCAGATTCCTGCAATCTTTGAAATCAGTTCATACTTAAATGTCAACTGCAGAAATAAACACATCTCCTCCTTATCACCTGTTGCATTCCTCATTTTTTCTTTACTTTTCTATTTCTGTTATAAACTTTTTTACTGTCTCATACAAACAAATACAGAGCACATTCTGTACACAGAACACATTTTTTAGAAGGTTTCAAGTGCACAAAAATTTAAATTTACAAAACATAGCAGTAACACAACAATAACATACTAATAATGGCTGGAGACGGCTTAAATGGGTAATGAAGAAAAACTTTAATATAAGTTTAACATGACAGCAAAT